GGGGGGGGGGGGGGGTGTGTGTTAAGAAAAGCAATTTTTTGGTATAATTATTACTTTGTTATAATGTCAAATTTGGGAGTTCAAACTAAAATACAAGATAAACTTTTTAGCGTGATAACAATACCAATAAATTATCTATTCTTAGAGGTTATCTGTATCTCTTTATCATATTTTTTTCTAGTCGCGTTAATTGCATTGGCCTCCGCTATCTTACCAAAGAACAAAATCTTTCCAATTAATGCCTGAAAAATATATGTTACTGAATACTTTTAGAATTAATTCACACTAATATTAACGAGGAAATAGAGATGTTATATATCCAAAAATAAGCTCGTGAAACAAAAATATATATTGAAGACATTTAAAGAATGACAAAAAAAAAAAAGGGAAATCAAGCTGAGCATTTATACTAAGTGAGCGTTTGGACATAAGGATTGTAAAATTCTAGAAAAAAGTGGGGAAAAATTCAAGTAAAAATTGGATTTGAAAATTAGATTGTGTTTGGACATGAATACAACTTGCAGATATTTTTGAATTTTGTGAGTGATTTGTAATGAAAATTTTGAAAAACTGTTTTTTGGAGTTCTGCAAATTTCTAAAAATAATTTAAAATTCAACTTCAAGTGAAATTTAAAATATTTATGGCAAAACACTGATTCCGAAAAAAGGTAAAAAAAAATTCCGGAAAAAAAAGTAAAAAAAATTATGGCCAAACAGGCCCTAAATCTGGTACAAGTAAACATTTATTATTCTAATAATTGAAAAATTCTCTTGAAATCAACATGGGAATATCATTCCCCCGTTTAGTTGCTTTATGCAATTCCAACTTAAAATTAAGAATCGAGGAAAATTTCTCACATTTTTTTCTCTTTAAAAAAAAGAACAAACAGAAAACTTGTGATATAATTTTTTTCTTTAAAAAAAAATGGAAAAGGAAATATGGGGAATTCTAAATTATCTGCTCGGGACTTGGAATTCGCATACATCACTTTGGTCGGTTTGGGGTTGTATGAACCCGTGAATCCCTACGAAAATACAATGTTTATGCCTAGGCACTCTCCTTTTATACTATGAATATTTTGTTTCTTGGAATGCTTAAAATTGGTTAAAACATTGGTATTTTCTCGTATTCACTCTATTTTGTCTATGAATAGTTGTTCAATAACCACAACCAAAGATCTTAGGGAAGTTATTGGACGTGAGATATCTCACATCACCCATTGATATTTTTTTATAATAAATAAATATTTATTTGAAATGAATATAAATATTTATAAAATTGTAACGACCCGACCGGTCGTTTGAGCTTTTGCACTTTGATCGCCTGTTCTCGGGCATGACTTGCCCCGTGTAATGCATTATGACTGATGTAGATCGTTTGTTTTGGTTTTCAGGAAAATCGGAATGAGTTTGGAAGAACAGTCTCAGTTGAAAGCTTTAAATTTGAAAGGTTTGACCAAGAGTTGACTTAATTGTATATGAGTTCGGATTGGAATTTTTATGATTTGGCTAGCTCCGTTAGGTGATTTATGACTTAGGAGCGCGATCGGAATGCATTTTGGAAGTCCGTGGAAGGATTTGGCTTGAATTGGCAAGGTTAGTATTTTGGCCAATTCCGGTTGATAGGTGAGATTTTGATCCGAGGGTCGGAATGGAATTCCGAGAGTTGCTGTAGCTTCGTTATGTCATTTGTGATGTGTGTGCAAAATTTCAGGTCATTCGGACGTTGTTTGTTCGGGTTTTTGATCGAAAGTGTATTTCGAAAGTTTTTGGAAACTTAGGCTCGAATTCGATGAATTTCGAGTAATTTGATGTTGTTTGAGGTGTTTTAATGATTGGAACAAGTTTGAATGAGGTTTTAGGACGTGTTGGTGTTTTTGGTTGAGGTCCCGGGGGCCTCAGGTGAGTTCGGATGGTCAATCGGACCATTTTTGGCATTTTGGAGTTGCAAATTTTCATCTCAGCTGTTGCAGAAGAAATGGCCTTCGCGATCGCGTGAAGTCCTTCGCGATCGCGTAGAGGGATTTTTCGTTGGCCCAGGTTTGCTCTTCGCGTTCGCAGTGATGGGTTCGCGTTCGCGTAGTTTTGGAGGTGGAAGCTTCGCGATCGCGTTTGTGTGTACGCGTTCGCGTATAAGGATTTGGGGACCCAGTGGATTTGTTCTCCGCGTTCGCATAGGCTGGTCCGCATTCGCGTATGTTTGGGAAAAAGAGCATCGCGTTCGCCGAGGGAGCATCGCGTTCGCATTGAGTATTTTTGAAGCCTTGGATTTTTGTGCTTCGCGATCGCGTGGCCTTGGTCGCGATCGCGAAGAAGGATTTGGAGTTGCTGGGCAGAATGTTTTTAAGTCACCTTGTCCGCGATTTTGGGTCTATTTTTACCCATGGCTGCTCGTTTTTTGGAGATTTTTGGAAGAGATGAAAGAGGGATTCAAGAGGAATCAACTTGAGGTAAGAATCTTGGTCTTAAAACTTGATTATATTGTGGAATCCACCTACAAATTCATGGAAACTAAGCCTAACATTGAAGAACTAGGGCTTGAGAAATTGGACTTTGAAATTGGGATTTGAGGGACCATTTGAGGTCGGAATTGAGAACTTTTGATATGTATGAACTCGTGGGAAGATAGGGAATCTAATGATGTGAAAATTTCTGAGTTTCAGAAGTGGGCCCGGGGCTCGGATTTTGGTAATTTCAGGATTTGTGCCGGTAATTGACTGTTTTCGCTTGGGCTTTGTTCCCTTAGCATATTGTGATGTATTCGCTCTGATTTTGGGTAGATTCGACGCGCGTGGAGGCCGATTTGAGGAGCAAAGGCGTCGCGAGCTAGAGATTTTGCCGGTTCGAGGTGAGTAATGATTGTAAATGATATCCTGAGGGTTTGAAACCCCGGATTGCACATCGTAGTGCTATGTTGAGGTGACTTGCACGCCGGATAGCGAGCGTGGGATAGAGCACCGTTGGGGATTGTGACTTGATCCATCCCGATTGATGATTTTACCGCATATTTGACTGAAACTTGTTTGTTATCATCATGATTTGGGCTGATTGCCATATTTGGGCTTCGTGCCAATTATTTGAACCCTTCGGGGATTTTTATCACTATTTCCTCACTGTTTCGACTTATTGCTTGAACCCAGTCCTGTTGATATCTACTGTTTTACAAACTCAGCCACCTTTTACTCAGATTTGAAACATAAATGATATTTCTAAATGATGTTTTAAGCTGAGAACTACTGTTTTACTAATGCCCGAGGGGCTTGTGATGATATCTGACTGAGTGCGGCTGAGGGCCATATGTGAGGATACACTGAGTGATATGAGGCCGAGGGCCTGAGATACATTTATACGCCATGAGGTGGCTTGAGTGATGTGAGGCTGAGTGCCGAGTGATGTGAGGCCGAGTGCCGAGAGATAAGCCACGAGGTGGATTGATATAGCGCTTGGGCCGTAAGGGGCCCCTTCGGAGTCTGCACACCCACAGTGAGCGCGGGTACCCATTGTTCTGAGAGGGTGAGCCCGAGGGGCTGAGAGTGTTCTGAGAGAGTGAGCCCGAGGGGCTGAGAGTGTTATGAGAGTGAGCCCGAGGGGCTGAGAGTGTTCTGAGAGTGAGACCGAGGGGCTGAGAGTGTTCTGAGAGTGAGCCCGAGGGCCTGATACTATTCTGAGAGTGAGCCCGAGGGGCTGGTATTGTTTTGAGATATGTGCCCGAGGGGCGAACCTTTATGTGTTCATCTTTCATTTTTACTTGTCATTTTACCTGTTATACTGTGGTATTTGTGCCCGAGGGGCGAATTTTTGGTGCTTATCGACACTAACTATTTTGCATTCATTGCGTGTTGAAAAAGTCATTTTCAAAAGAGTTTAAACTGAGCTAAGATATTTCTAAAGATTTCACAGCTTCACTGTTTTTTTCTCAAAGGGTTTTACACTGCTTCTATACAGCATGTTGGTTTGCTTTACGTGATTTCTTACTGCTCAGTTGTTATTTATCTTTATTACTCACTGAGTTGGAGTACTCACTTTACTCCCTGCACCGTGTGTGCAGATGCAGGTATTTTTGCACCCGATAGTGGGTTTTGTCTGAGCGGAGGCAGAGTTATCGAAGTTAGCAAGGTGACTGCCAGCGTTCGCAACACCGCTTTTCTCCCTTTGTTTATCAGTCCTGTTTCGTATATTTCAGACCTTGTAGTTGTATTTATACTCTAATAGATGCTCGTGACTTGTGACATCCCGGTTTGGGCTGTGTCGGGTTGTACTTCCGCTAATTATTATCATTAAACCATATTTAAACTACTTATGAACTGTTTAATTGTTTTAAAAGGATGAATCGGGTTTAGTTGGCTGGCCTTGTTCCCATGAGAGGCGCCATCACGACCGGGTTTAGGTTTGGGCCGTGACAAAAACTTTTCAACTATATATATTATATATTCAGTTTAGTCGGAAATAATACATATATGTGTATCCTGCAGATGATGTACATCTGTCAT